GAGTGGAAAGGGCCTGCCTGCGTACTGCCTGTGCTGAACACGTAGGAGCTTTTCTTTTTGGCAGCAGGGGGCAGCAGAGAAGGCTGGAAGCTTGGGAAGGCCCAGATTGAGGGGACTTCAGGCAGGTGAAACCTAAGGAATCTGGCAGAGGTAAATGCTGGTGCTGTGGCCAAAAGCCAGTTTTAGGAGCCATTTCTGCATCTGATGAGAGGATATGGAGCCCAGCTGGATAGCATAGGTAAGGTCATCTTGGCTTGCTTGCACCCGCAGGCACGCTCTGCTATCCAAGCGTATTTCAGGATGGGTGAGAAAGCAAATGGTTCACACCAACGTTTTCCTCTCCAGAGCGATAATTATTCATAGTTGAAAAAACAAACAAAAACTCAGCAGGTTGTGAGCAGGAAAAGACTGTGAATCCTGTCCCAGTTCCAGACAACATGGCCAATGACATCAAGGCCCATAAATGAAAATCAGTAATGTTTCCGCCATTTAGTCTGGTTCTAAACCTCTGCGCTGACACAGTAAAAACCACCATGCGCCAAGCACGTTATGAGGCACATTACATTCATTTGCTCATGAAAAACCTGTAGGACCTCTGCAAGGTAGGAGCTACTATCCCCACTTTACAGACAGGAAAACTGAGGCCCAGCGACATTTACCTTCCAGATTCATAGGACTAAATGGGCAACAGACCTTGGGATTCTAAAGCCTGACTTCCTTTTCTTTTTTTTTTTTTTAAGATTTTATTTATTTATTTTTTTTAGAGAGGGAGAAGGAAGGGAAAGAAACATCGACTCATTGCCTCACAACTCAGGCGTGTGCCCTGAGCGGGAACTGAACCCGCAACTCTTGGTTCACTGGCTGCTGCTCAATCCACTGAGCAACACCACCCAGGGCCTAGATCTTGACTCTTAATAACCTTTTATAACTTCCACAAACTATGCTTCCCATAGGTATTGGTTTCCTGTAGCTGCTGTAACAAACTACCACAAGCTTGCTGGCTTAAAACAACAAACATTCACTCACAGTTCTAGAGGCCAGAAGTCTGAAATCAAGGAGTCGGCAGGGCCACACTCCCTCCAGAGGCTCAGGAGAGGTTCTCTCCACGCCTCTCCCAGCTACTGGGGGCTGCTCAGCAGGCCCTGGCTTCTGGCTGCCTCTGTCTGACCTCTGCCCCCAGGGCCACATTGCCTTCTCTTCCGTTTGTGTCACATCGGCCTCTGCTTCCCTCCTATGAGGATTCATTTGTCTGCATTTAGAGCCCACTCAGCTCACCCAAGATAATATTCCTCATCCCTGGGTCCTTAACTTAATCGCATTTCCAAAGACTCCTTTTCCAATAAAGTAACATTTTACAGGCCCCGTGGATTAGGACATGGGTACGATCTGGGAGGCTGTCTTTCAGCCCACCGTACCACATGTGCCCATTCCTTCCTTAACTTATCCCTTCACACACCTTAATTGTGTGGATTGAGCATCGTGCTAGTAGCTGGAAAATGAAAAGAAAAATGACAGAGTTGTCCCTGCTCTCTGGGACCTTATGGTCACTGTGTAACCTTTCATACCTACTTCCCAGATGCTCTTGATAAATAGCAGGGGTAAGACATGCCAGGATAGTCAAAATAGCTGGAACTTACTACTTGTGGCACTGTTCTGACATTTACATATATCAGCTCACCTGACCCTCACAACAGCCTTATCCCCAATGGTAGAGGGGTTCCACTAAGTCTGCACTTGTCACCTGTCTACACAGAATGCTGCAGGAGCACAAGGGAGAGGCAGTCAAGGTGAAGAGAGTGAGGGCAGGGAAGGCTTCCTGGAGGAGGTGCCACTCCCACTGAATCTGGAAGGACAGGAGTTGGCCAGAGGAAGTGGCATGAGGGAGGGACAAGAGTGAGGAGGTGCCCCAGGCAGGAGGCCCCCAGACAGAAGGGAGGAGGGCCAGGAACTGGGAGAGCCCTAAGCCAGCAGATGGGCTCTCAGCAGAGGATCGACCTGACCAAGGTCCTGTCTTTCCCCAGAGAGTGAGCCAGGGCCCTGGCGCTCGCTGCACGTGTGTAGCTGGGCCACCGAGCGAGCAAGCGAGTGGCTGCATGTTGGAGGTGGCCCAGAGGAAGAGGAGAGGGGGGAGGCTCCCAGCCTTCCCGCTCACCCCTCCCCTCAGGGGCCCCTGCCTCCTTGAAGCCAGCCCCTCCGCCCCAACGGCCCAGCCCACATCTGCTGGGCTGCACTGTGAGCTCGCAGATCAAGAAGTTGGGAGCCCTGGGGACCAGGCCCCAGGTCCAACTCTCACAGCCTGGGAACCTTGGAAACTGCACCAGCTCGGTGGGGCCCTCTAAGCACCAGGCAGGCGCCTCTGGCTCCCAGCCTGCGCCCTCAGTACAGATCTCGTTGTGTCATGACTGCCCAGCTCTTGGCTCAGCAAGGACAGGGCTTCTGGCTGCTGTCCTTGCTCCCACTCCCAGGCACTCAATGAGGCACTCAATGAAAAGGTGACAACCAGGAGAGAGTGCCTGAGATACGCCCCACTGGCCCCCACAGCACAGTGCGGACGGACAGAACCAGGCCCAAGCCCGCGCCTAGGCCTGTGTATTGTGGGAGAGGGGGCGGCCATCAAACCGTCACTCAGCAGAGATAAAATGCGGAGAGGAACTCTGTCGGCCAGGCAGGCTTCCCTGAGGAGGGGACTTTTGAATTTGATGTGGAGTCCCTGTCTTTTGGGAAAACCACAATCCTGGTGTGGGTTTGGGGCTAGGTTCACCTAGCATTTGTTCACGCTCAGATCGGAGGCACCCACCCCTGCCAGCTGAGGGGCTGCGGGGAGTCAAGGGGAAGGTCCCCGGCCTCGCTGGGCCCCCGTTTTGGGGGATTCGAGAGCCATTTCCGCTGGCTTTCCAGCAGCCAGCCTCTTTCGTTTCCCTGCTCTCCCTGATTCTCTTCCTTCACTCCTCCATTTCACAGGACAGGGCAAGGGCAAGCAATGCACACGGTAGTTCTAACCTTCAGTCGCCCCTAAGGGAGCTGTGACTGTTATCCCCACTGCACAGAGGAGAAAACTGGGATGAGGAAACCAGTTTCTTGCTGAGGAGCATCCAGCTAGCGGAGAGGCCCACACTCTTCCTAGAACCTTCCACCCCCACCCCACCCCGGCTCCAGGCCTCCCCTTGCCTGCTCCCCTACACCTTGGACTCACCAATCCTCAAACTCACAGATCTTTCTTCCCAGAGGGTGCGCCTGTAGGAATTAAAGTGTCAAGGGGGAGAGGGCAGCTAAAGGCCAAGTTCATCCCGAAAGCTGGAGCCTGGAGAAAAGGGAACCTGGCACTCTCTCAGAGAAGCCACAAGGTAGCTGCTGCGTAGGATGTATTTAGAGTTGAGCAGGAGAGCACAGAGGTGGAAACTGAGGCCCAGAGGGATGGCCACACAACTCGTGCAGAGCGGGGCCGGGCCTACCCTGGAACCCCTGTCTGAGTCCCTGCACTGCTCTTGGCTCCTGGAGATGATGAAGCAGAGGCATCCTCTGGACCCTCTCTTGGCTGGAGGTCAGGGAACACAAAGGTGATTAAGATACATCATGCCCTGGAGGATTTCCCAGTGTGGTTGGGGAGATGGGCACCCCACCAGAGAATTATAAAACTAGATAGGTACCCAGAGGAAGGGACCGCATTCAGACTAATTGACAAGATGGGGTGCCATCAAGGAAGGCTTCCTGGAGGAGGAAAGCTCTGCACTGAACTGAAAAGTATAAGCAGGGGTGGGCTTGGTGGAAGCCTGGTTTTGGGTTGGGGGAAACTGGTGCCACAAGGGTCTGACATGCTGACAAGCCACAAAGTAGAAGGAGGAGAGAAGAGCTCAGCCAAGTCCTGTTGGGCCCCCAGGCAGGGCTGGTGCCACCATGGGCCGCTGCGGGAAAATCTCAGCTGAGCACTTTCGGGAGGAGGCTAAGGTCCAGGCCTGGAGGCTGTGCCACTCCTTAGGACTGAGATTCTGTCCTGGGCTCTGAGCTTGGGCATCCAGAGAGGGCTGAGGGTGGGAACCCAGGGGAGGGAGGGAACCTCCCTAAGGTGTTGGCTGTCCCTAGGCCCTGCAACAGGCAAGCCTAGGGGAAGTCCCTAGCTTTTCCTTTTTCCTGCCCCCTGCAGTCTTCTCTCTACCTCCTCTGTCCCCGGGTCTCTGCTCCCCCTCTCTGCCTCCTTCCTCAACCCAGAGCTGACCCCAGGGTGCTATTAGGGAGGACTGTGTGTTCCTAGGCCTGGAGACTGTTCTTTCCAAGGCAGCACAGAGGTTAGGAGGACGTCTAGATCCATCCAGATCTAGACTGGATAGGAATCCTGACCCAGCCTCTCACAAGCTGTGTGGCCTAGGGTAAGCAGCTCAACGTCTCTGTGTCTCCGCTTCCTTGGGCATGACTGTAGCAGTCGAACACGCTGCTGTATGCATCACCTAGGGTATAATGAGTGCCCGGTACCCACAAAGGTGCAGGATGGATTGGCCGTGGGTAGGGAGACTGAGGGTGGCTGAGAGGCTGTCAGACTCCGGTGGGGGTGGTCCCAGGCTCAGGCCTCATAACTGATTTCCCCAGAGGAGGGGCGGGGCCTCCGGGCAGCTCTGAGTTTCCCGACACTTGTCACGCCCCCACCCTCCGGGTTTTCCAGAGAAGGAGATGAACTCGGTTCGCTGAGGGAAACTGAGTCAGCGGAGGCGTCGGCGCCTCGGAGCGCGAGGGGTCAGCCGGCCCGCGTGGCGGCCCCACTCGGAGCAGCGCGGCTCCTTTTGTCTGCAGTCTCCGCGCTGCCGCCGCCGCCGCCTCCCGCCCCGAGCGGCGGGGCTGCGGCGCGGCGCCTGACACGGCCGCGCCCCCGGGCGGAGGGAGGCTGCGCGTCGCAGACCCACGCGGGCGGCCGGCGGCCCCGGCGGGCGCGCGGTGATGGCGGCGCGGGGCGGGCGGCGGCGGACGCGGCGGGCGGCGCGGGACTCGGGCTAACTGCGGGGCCGACCCGGATGGCGGGCGGCGCGGGCTGGGCGGGCGCCCCCGCGGCTCTGCTGCGCTCGGTGCGCCGCCTGCGCCAGGTGTTCGAGGTGTGCGGCCGCGACCCCGACGGCTTCCTGCGCGTGGAGCGCGTCGCGGCGCTCGGCCTGCGCTTCGGCCAGGGCGAGGAGGTAAGGGGACCGCGGTGGGCGCCCGCCCCCCATCCCGAGTCTCCGCGGCCGCCCCCCCCCCTCCGCTTTCCTTCCCCACCGGCCTCCGAACCCCTTCCATTTCCCCTCCCCCAGCTTCCCTGTCTTTTCTCCTGCCCGAGGCGGTGGCTTCATCCCGGGAGGACTCCCGCCTGTGCCACAGCCTGCCCCCCTCTCCTGAACTGAGGACATTGAGCTCCCCCTGCCCTGTCGGACTCTCGCTTTCCACCATTAGCGCCGGTGCTGCGAGCATCACGCGTCACGCCCAGGGTGGCCTCTCTGCCCATCTTCTGTGTCCCTCTGACCGGTCCGCAACCCACTCGATGTTTGGGGGAAGGAGCTGTCAGAACTTGGCCTCTGGACCCCCGCCCCTTCCCACGCTGCGGTGACTAAGACGCTGCGGTGACTAAGACGCAGAGATCTGTGCGCGCGGAATTCCAGGACGCAGTGGGAGGTGTGCGCCTGGCTGGGCCTAGCCAAGGGGTGAAGAGGACAACTAGGGGCGCTCTGCAGCCTGGCTCCGTGACTGCACCCCCTGCCTAGAATACAGAAGGAGGTGCCCGCTTGTGGCCACCCAGGATTCTGAGCACTTGCGCCTGCTTGGTGACCTTCCCCACCCCCACCCCCCATTCAGGCCCCTATGGGCGAGCTTGGCTGGCAGCTGGTTGTGTTGGCTGCGGTAGGCCTGCCAGAGCCAACCTTGGGGAGCGGCATCTGAGCAGTGTTTCCTGGGGTGGGCCTGTGTCTATTTGGGGAAAGCAGGAGTTACGTTGTTATCAGGACTGAAGTCTGAGGGTTGGTGCTGCCAGTGTGGTGAGCAGAGGAATACCAGCAAATGCTCCATATATCAGTGTCCTCTTATGCCATGAGCACAGGGACAGGCGACTATGTCTGGGGGGAGGGCAAGGCACCCACCTGGCAGGTGAGCATCCCCACCCTCTTGCTACTGTGCACTCCAAAGTGGTCGGGGCACAGAAGCCCTGAGTAGTGAGTTGCCAAGGCCACCTAAGGCCCCAGGCTGTGCATGGGGAGCGCGGGCCCACGGGCCTCACAAGGACCACTGGCTGGCATTCCGTTCCTGGGACAGCGCAGGCCTTGCATTTCAGAACATGGGAGACACCAGGGCATGGCTAGGTTGGACCCATGCCCCCCTGTCACCTGCAAGTGGGAAACTATAGATAAACGTCTCTCCCTGGCACCTGGGCATGGCCTGGACTGGGAGCAGGAGGTGGAAGAGGGTGAAGCAGGTGTCAAGGTTGAGAACTCAGGGGACCCCATCCCGGGATGATCGCTGCTGCAGTTCTGTTGGCGCCCCCCAAGTCTTTCTGCAGACAGCAGCCCAACCCTCGGTCTTCCTGGCTTTGCCCAGGGGCACCTCCTGCAGCCACTGCGTTCCTTCTCCTTTTGCAAGGCCAGCCGAGCAGCCCCCTGGCCTGGGGAGAGCCCGGCTCCTTGCTCTCAGGGCACTGGCTGCAGGGAAGAAGAAGCCGCTGGCTCTGGCTGGGACCTGGAGGTCCAGAACCGCAGAGCCTCCGTGGCGGGAAGGCCTTTCAGCAGCCTCTGGCAGGAGGCCACACGGGCTTGGGCCTGAGCCCTAGCACCCCACCACCTTATTGGCAAGCTAGACAGCTCCTCTTGTTAGAACCTTCTCCCTCATACACTCTAGAGCCAAGCCTGCTTGTCCTTTAGTCACTCACATGGGCCCTCTTCTATGTGACAGCCTTATTTGAACAGTGCTCCTGCCCACCTCACTCCTTCCCACCCATCTTCCCTTCTCCAGGCCAAGTGCCTGAAGCCCCAAGACATTCCTATACAACCCGACAGGGGCCCTGGAGTTGCCATTCACTAATTGTGTGACTCAGGTGTCCTAGTGATAACATGGAGGGGCTGGACCAGAGGACCCGGCTGGACCGCTCCAGCCCCAACACTCACGCATGCACGGATGGCTGAGGGTGCGGCTGCCGTTTGAGCGGCACACCACACTCTCCACTCGTACTAAGTTCCTGGTCACCAAAGCCCCCAGAGATCTTTCTTAGAAACCTCTGCCAAGCCAGACTCTTCCCCACCCTGGAGGAGGGTCCGCGATTGCGCTCTGCAGAAAGCATGCTCTTCTGTCCTTGCAGAAGCAGCTTATAAGCACCGTAGAAAATGAGAAATATGGACAAGCAAAAATTCCCAGCCCCCCAGGGAGCCCCACTGTGACACCTTGGTCACATGCTTCCAGAGCTGTTGCTGTGCTTATATGTAGATTTTCTCTAGAACATGAGACCATGCTGTGCATACTGTTCTGTAACCTGATTTTTCCCCCAGTAAATGATTAGCATTTTTCTGCTTCAATAAATTCTCATCTCATTTAGTATGCAGAGCTTATTCAGATTCCTTATTTGGCCCCCAAAACGTCCATTTCTGCTGTTTTGTTTAAACCAGTTTTCTTTCCAGAACTGTGCAGCCGTGCAGTGCATGCAGGTGTTGTGACCCTAAGGCCTCTCTTACTCAAATGCAATTTTTCTTCTTCTTTTTTTTTTAAATAACCCTGGCTGTTGAAGAGATCGGGCTTGTTGTCTATGTCAATAATTTCTTGAATCTAAACCTGTTACTTGGCCCTATTTCTACTAATTTCATCTTGTTGATTTCATTCCACTGTAACCGACACAAGAGAGTGTCAAACCCTACTTCTGTCACTCAGGCCCTGCGCTGCCTTCAGGTGGCAGAAGCTGGCGCTCTCTGTCTGCATTCGCCAGGCAGGTTACAGACACAGGGCAGGACCACGGACAGGGCCTCGTGGGCCGCGGCTGCTCAGCCTGTATCACTGGCCGGGACCCACGGAAACACAGTTTGCATCCCTACTCACTACACAGTGAGTTCACATGTGCCTTCCAAAATAGGGTCGTCATTTCCCCACAGGTAGGGATCCCTTCAAAATGCTGTATACTTGAGAGTTTCTATTTCATTTCTTTAAAAACCAGAGAGAGGCCTTGATTTCCCAACCCATTAGTGAGTGCTCCAGGACCGACAACGACCATTCGTTAGACGTGGGGTTCAATGAACACCAAGTATCCACCTTCTACCAACTACTCCCAAAAACCAGGGATACCAGAATCAAAAGCTTTGCAAAAATCAAAGTAGACTAGGTTTCAAGTATAAAATAAACATTCATGAGGCCATACTGATATGAATGAATAAGTAAACACTAGGAAACTCTCTTGTACAGAAGAAATTCAAATAATTTATGTAGATGATTCCTCATCACGGAGGTGGGGCTTAGGTGTCCACCCCCAAGTGTCAGAGGTGATGGTGGCCGCCTGCTGAAGAGCCCAGCGTGGGAAGGGGAGGGGCAGCCTCACGGTGGAGAAGCCTGAGCGGCCCTGCCTGAGCCCGGGCCGCGGCCCACAGCGGTCATGAGGCAGGTCATGTGACGTGATGAGAAGGGCACTTTACCTCTATAATCTCCCTCCCCAAACCATCAGCCCGCTCAGGTCACGAGAAAAACATCAGACAAATCCCGACAACTGAGGGGCATCCTGCCAAACACCTGATGAGCACCCCTCAGGTGTGACAAGGTCATCAAAGCCACGGAGAGTCTGAGGAGCCCCCGCAGGCGAGTGGAGCCTAAGGAGACGTGGCACCAGCACGCACTGTGGCATCCTGGGTGGGGTCCCGGGACAAGGAGCGACGTTGGGTAAAAACTAAGGATGTCAGAGTAGAGTATGGACTTTAGTCAGTAACAATGCTGTTAGGCTGGTCTCTGATATCGCCCTAATTTACTGACTTAGGAATCCTAGCAGCAAAGAGAAGACAAGGAAATTTGATGGAAACTTAAGGAAAGTGTCAGACACAAAGCCTGGCCTTTTAAGGAATGTAAACCTGGTGGGGACAGGGGGACACCACTGTCCCAACCCTGGAAACCTGTGGTACAGTGAGAGCAGGACCGCTGTGACAGGCTCATGAAACGATGGCCCAGCACTCTGAACCCATGCTGGCATGTGAGTGCTTAGTCCAGTGCCTGCACAGGGTAGGCACACTGTCAGAATCGCTGCTACTGCTATTATTATTTTCTGAACACTTATGGGCATCTTTGAGAGGCGCGTCTAAGCTGGGGGTTTCCCGGGGCCTGAGGTCAAGATCTGGGACCAGCCCCTGCGTCCTCAGCCCGCCCTCCCTGTCCAGCCTGCCCCGCCCGCCCCGCCCATCCTTCCAGCAGTCTCGGGCCACACTCCCTGTCACACACCCTCCCTTTTCCAGTTGGAAGGCCATCCCTCTTGCTGGAGAAATGGGGACACAAGTAGCTGAGTGGTGTCCCTGTCACGCACTAACACAGCACCGTCTCCCCTGACTTGTCCTTCCTGCTGGGACTGAGGTCCACTCCAGCATCCTGAAGGAGGCTGTAAATTGTTTGGGGGAGGTGAAGCCGCTTTAGTCGACCCGGGACTGGTCCGTAATTTCCCCCTTCTTTAGAGCTGCCCTTGGATGTGGCCAGAAGCACAGGAGATGAAATAAAGGCCCCAGCTGGGCTCCCTGAGTTCCCACATCCCCTCTGAATGAACGGCTGCCACAAGAGACGCTGGTGCCACCTGGCTTCAGGCTGGGATCTGACCTGGCAAATGGGTTAATGGGGCTGGGATGGGCTGAGAGTGACCCGCCTCTGAGGTTCCCGGGCTGCCAGGGCAGGGCAGCCCTGAACGAAAGCTGGGTCCTGCCCAGGACAAGGGGGACCGGGGGCTGAGGAAGAAAGGAGTGCGCCATCCCTATGTCTGCGGCTGCAGCTTGGGGAGCGGGGACGGGGCAGGAGGGGAGGCGTGAGGGGAAGGCGGGGCCGGTCCAGAAAGGTTCGGCCTTTCTCTGTGGGCCGTGGGAAGAAGATCCGGGCTGCGAGGGCAGGCGCGTGTCGGACCCGGAGGCGACTTCGACATGTAGCCAGAGAGGGAGACGGCCCAGGCTTGGGCAGTGGCAGGCGCTGCAGAACTGATGGGCCCGAAGGCCTG